TGTTCTCACTGTCTATCTTGTCAATCACAGAATTCTTCCTGCATAAAAAATCGAATGAATCCACCTGCGGCCCTATCATTGATGATCATCTGTAAGTAGTCTCAGTGGGATGTCTGGGATCCTCAGAATTTTAAGTTTCCACTGATCAGTTTTTCTCTGGAGCTACATGGTTTGCCACTCTCTCACCAATGTACTTCCACAGACAAACATGGTGGATGATCTTTGGCTTGGATTACCTATCTTTTGAATACCTACTTAACGTTAGAGTTTGCGTTTTAAACTGTTCAACCATACTGCATCATCTCGATGAAATCTATTTTTATATCACTAATTCCTCAGCCATGTTGTGTTATTTGGTTTTACCAGGATCCAGTCAATAGATAGAGAATCATGATGAGCATTTTACTTGTTTTTGATTTAGTGACCTGTTTCCATTGGAAGTTCAACCTCCAGTACAGTAATTACCATGTAGTGCATGGAAATTTTCTGTGTATAGATTGTGGAGCTATATGAAATTAGTTTAAACTCATATTCATGTCTTCCTTGATGTCAATTCGCCATACATCATGTAGTGTAAAGAAACTTCCTGCATTGAGAGTAACTTTATATCCACCTGCTGTTTACATCACCCTTCTTCACCTCTGGTGACAATATTTCATCTTTAACAACATATCATGTACAACCAGCAAATTGAGATATAAAGTATTCCCAGTTAAACTTTACCTCACAAATTCAACTAATTCCTGTTTTCTTGATATCTCGTTAGCAGTATGTTATCTGTTATGCTGGGCTGTTGATTTCTTAGAGACTCATCTGTAAGGACTTGGTTCCCCACATGTATTCTATAACAGTTATCTATTTCGGGTATCCTTTGATAGGAGCGATTATTCCATATAGGCCTTTGTTTGCAGTTCCTGGAATATGTCGTTTCAGTTTACACTTAATGCATCTATTTGTTACACCCAGTTGTTTTTTTAATTTGTAGACGTTGAACTGATCGGTTAAATTTGGTAGTATCATGTCTGTAGTGGTCCAGGAAGGCCTTTTTATATAGCAAAGATATGGACTTAGTGTAAATATTGAAGATGAACACACATAAAAAAAGGGGTGGGGCGGATGGGAAAAAGAACAGGACCGTAAGAAGGTGCTTTTAAAAAATGAAGTCGAAAAATGTAAGAAGATAACAGAAATGTTTCCCGCTGATATAAAATCTACGCAACAAATATATACTGCAGGTTCAGATGTAACAAAAATATGTGGAAAATGAAAATATTACCAGCTGCTCACAATTTTACGAACAGATACAACAGCACGTTTCCGTTTTTAATAAATACCAATTAATATTACCCTCAAATTCAGAAGAAACAGAAAAGGAGGAATGTGAGGACGAAAGAAAAATAATTACTAAAATAATAAATATTTTAGAAAAGATGGTTTACATCGTAATTGGCTGACTTTTAATGAATAGCCTCCAGTGGCACAGCGAATTTACAACACTAGAAACCAAGAACATATTGATGAAGTAGTTTGTAAGAGCAGGAACCGCCATGAAGCAATTGGTAATAGGAGAGAACCAATTCTGTTATAGATGAACTAACAATCGTTTTGCAACAAATGTTGAAATTATTGAAGCACAAATTGATACAACCCAAGATATTAATGTACAAAACCAATTGTAGTCAGACATGTAACGACCCAAGGTATTAATGTACAAGACCAATTGTAGTCAGACATGTAACGACCCAAGGTATTAATGTACAAGACCATTTGTGATCATATATGTTCAAGACCAATTGTGACCAGATATGTAACAATCCAAGATATTGTTACGACAGCGGAGGTCACGTGACGCTAGTAACACGCTACGCGCTTCTAGAACGTTCATGAAGCGTCGGGAGACTACTAGATATGGGGTAGTCATGTATATATAAGACCGGCCAAGAAGCGACGGGAACAATGTGTAATTGAACTGCGGACAGAGTATTGTTGATTTGAGCACGAGAGACGTTCGTTGTGAATAATAGCGTTTGTTATAGCGCGACTGTTGAAATTAAGTGTATTGCAAAGTCGTATTCAGAAAGAATAAACCAGTTTTATTTCAGAAAGGACTTGCATCGTTAAAGTTACGTCGGAACGAAATTTACGGAAAATTAACTAACGAACGGAGACGTAACAAATTGTTGTCAGAGAGTGGGACAGAAAATAAAAATAAGAAAAAAGAAGAAGAAGATGGAAACGAGATGCGGCAAATCAAACTACAGCTCAGCAGATTTGATGGTAGCAATACAAGAACAGCAAAAGAAACAAGAAGAACGAGAAGAGTAATTACAGTAGTTGTTGGAGGAAAAGAAAAGAAACAAGAAGAACCAGAAAAGAAATAAGAAGAGAGATTACAACAGCTGTTGGAGGAAAAGAAAAGAAACAAGAAGAGAAATTACAGCAGTTGTTGGAGGAAAAAGAAAAGAAACAAGAAGAACGAGAGAATAAACAAGAAAAGAAACAAGAAGAACGAGAGAATAAACAAGAAAAGAAACAAGAAGAGAGATTACAGCAGTTGCAAGAAAACCTGCAACAGTGGCAGCTCGAACAGCAAAATAAACAAGAAGAAAGATTACAGCAGTGGCAAGAAAACCTGCAACAGTGGCACCTCGAACAACAAAATAAACAAGAAGAAAAATTACAGAAGTTGTTAGAGGAGAAAGAAAATAAACAAGAAGAGAAATTACAGCAGTTGTTAGAGGAGAAAGAAAATAAACAAGAAGAGAGACTACAGCAGTGGCAACTAGAACAAGAAAGGAAACAAGAAGTACAAACGGAAAACATTAGTAAATTCAAAAGCGAATTCTCTATATACAATATCATAATTATACTTGTCTATCTTTTCAATCCAACGTGCCAGTTGTCCCTCTGGGTTCTTTAATGATCTTAACCAGTGTAATGCACCATGATCTGTCCTGATGGCAAACCTTGCACCATAGAGGTAAGGATGGAAATATGTCAGACTCTTTACTATAGCAAGGAGTTCTCTCCGTGTTACACAGTAGTTCCTTTCTGGTCTACTCAAAACCCTACTGAAGTAGGCCACCACATGTTCATTTTCGCCCACTTTCTGAGACAACACTCCTCCAATTCCCACATTACTAGCATCACAATCCAGTATGTACGGCAGTGAGGGATCTGGAAGCTTTAAAAGTGGAGCGAAGGCCAATTTTTCCTTCAACGTCTTGAAAGAATGCTGGCAATAAACTGTCTATTCAAAATTTTGGCCTTTTTAGTTAAATCTATGTAGTGGAG